GGATGGCACCAAGGCAACATGGTGATGGGTAAAAGGAGAGGATATGTTAGGAGAAGCAAGTTAAAAAAAAATAGTTATTTCTCCTGCTTTACAATTATTGCTAGTCCATCTACAAAACATGAACTACTTCCTGTTCTGGAAGATTTACTTCAGAGTACCCACAGAATGGCATTAAGACAAATATATATATAAGTCTCTATATATAAATATTATATCTATATAAATAAAATAAAATAAAATAAAATAAAATAAAATAAAAATATTAAGACAAATATTGCCACAGACAAAAAAACAAAACAAAACCCTATACCTTAATGGCAAGTCCAGACAGATCTGCATTGTCAGGCACTGGTGGCAAATCCAACTTGATATCCATATCATATGTACGACTGTGAATGAGAGCACCAAAGAGGGAGACACGAGTTTCTCTCTCATACCTGTCCCCCACTGGACAATTTTGTGAAAACAGTTCCACCATAGGAAGACCTGTACCAGGTGCTGCCTCCATAATTTGCAATGTCTTTTGAATTGTATCATTAAACTGAAGTTCTTCATTTGCAATAAAAGCCTGCATATCTGCTTCAAATATACTAACATCATAATAATCATAACCTTGGTATTTAGTGTTTCTTCCTACATATTTGTTATTCACAAAATAATCTTTTTTGAGGGGTGAACAACGAGGAGGACCAGTTCCTGCAAGCTGTACCAGAAAATCCAAAACAGAAGTAATTTCAATAAATGGTAAGCAAGTAGACCTTTCTAACTCCTCAACAAGCTGCTCCAGCCTGTCTGCTTCTAGGCCCATTCCGGCAACTCTCAAATTGAAAGACAGCATTAAAATTTTGTTTTTCACAGGGAGCCTAGAGAAATTTGATTGAGAAACTTTCTGGGTTTCATCCACGAAAAGATTAGCAAACAAAGTATTATATGCAATCTTTTTGAGACTTTTGCTTGAGATTTTTTTGCTGTTCTTCCCTTTGCTTAAATGGACTTTTTTTGACCCAGATACTATGTGGGCCTCACACAAGTCACCAAATAGCTTTGTAATACTCTCCATGGTCCCATCAGTTATGGATATCCACAATCAACTGAGTATGAATCCAGCACTAATAGACAAGCAACCGTCGATTTCTGTTCCTGAAAAAGTAAAAGAAAGCAAAATCATTAAAATAAACGTTAATGTTGTCTCGACTGATTTCCTCTGCAAGCATCACAAAATTAAAAGCCAAGACTTTGGCCATGTCTCACTCCTAGCAGCAAGTAGCAAGAATGCTGCAAACAGTGAGAACACTCCCATATAGCTCAGGGAACTATTAAGGGTTTTTCAGACAGCCCATCAGAGCAGTAACTTGTTTTAGGTCTTTTAGTCTGCAATCCTGTGTACACCCCATTAAGCAAACATGTACGGTCTCTAATCTGAATCGTCTTTATTTGAGAGTAAAATCTAACTGAACATAGCAAAGATTTGCTTCCCAGTAAACATGCATGGGATTGGCATATGTTGGAAGTTGTTTTATTCAGTCTCACTGTTGTTTCATTTAACTGCATTTATCATACCTTGGCCTTTCAGGGTTATAGATATGAGTCATATCAACCTTACACAGAGCTATCAGAGACTGAAGCTGAGACCACTGCACACAAAGAATGTGTTCTACAAATAGCTATTGCCCTTCCCATGCCAAACATATGTTGTTTTTGTACATTTCTACAAGGCTAATTGATATACAAAAGAGCTCTTGTCAGAACTTGCTATTTTTCAGAAGACCTTAACAATATTTTGTGTGTGTGTATGTGTGCGTGCACACATGCCTGCAAGTCAGTTTTTGATTCCTGGCAACTGCCTGGACTAGTCCCTGCTTATTTTAATTAGGCAATGACATTACTATTTTCTGTAATTCCTGTCAAGCCTCCACCTTATTTACATCTCTTAGCAAAACATTAACTATGAAAGCAATGCAAGAGAAAAAAAGGTGAGTGTGACACTAAAGAATCCTGTGTAAACCAAAAGGCTGCATACCCTAACAAGAAAGAACCAACACTGTATATAGAATCAACTGTCAGACTTACAGCCAACACTGCATAGGGCAGATAGGGTGCCAACTACAGTACACCAAAAAATTAAAGAACACATAACTGCAATGAAGAACCAAGATCAGAAGTACCTAACAGTTACCCATGCCCTCAGAATGATCCACACATTCAACTGGGAAAACACAGAAATAATTGACCATGCAAACAGCAGAAGAACCAGAGAATTCCTGGAAGCCAGGCACTCAAATAAAGAAGCCACCAACAGATAATTATGAATGAAAATGCTAAAGTGTATGACAGATATGAATATCTGAGAGCATGAACCAACGGCATCTATGAAAGTAGAAACCCAAAGGTTGATAATAATTGCATGTTATATTCCACAGAAGAATCAGAGATTTATGCAACGTTATGAATGAATGCAATCCAGAGGAACAATTATTCTGTTAAGAGATATGAATGGATGGGTGGGAAAAAGACAAAGGGATGTCAAAAAAGGGGTTGAGTCATTTCAGAACCTCAAAAATGAGTGAGACAGGTTTGAAAGTTTGGTGAATATCTGCTTAGATAAAGGCCTGTTTATTTCAAATACATGGTTTAAGCATGAATCAATTCTATCACTTGGCAGAGGAATGAATACAAACCTAAAAGAATGATTTGATTGTACAGGATATGATGAAGGCTGAAAGAACAAGTGAAGGATACAAAAATGATGAGAGGTTCTGAATATGGGACAGACTTGACAGTGTCAAGAATTAATCTTGGGGGGAAATGGACATGGAAAAGAAATAAGTGAACAAAACTAGAGTGAAAATAAACCTGCAGGAATAAAAAGTATTAGATGAAAGTTTAATATTCCAGCACAAATGGAAATTAGATGACTTGGTGGAATGATGAAGTGAAAGAAATTGTGGAAAAGAAATAAAAGAACTGCAGCAAAAAATGAAATACATTGTATTAGGATATAGACTGAACCCTGCAAAGAATGTAGTCAAAGAGAGCAAGGAATGGTTAATTTTTTTAAAAAAAGCATAAAAGCCACAGAAGCATTTTTGATGGAAATTAAAAATGTTTTATAAGTGGATGGAGAGGATTAAACATGGAGCCTCCAGCAGTATCAAGGGAATTAAAACTAAAAATGACAAAATGATTTGGGATGAAACTATAGTAGAGGGAATTGCTTGAAGGAATATTTCAGAGATTTGCATAGGAATGATGATACAACCAAGAGTGATACTGAAACAAATGCTCTAAAAGTTAGTGTCCAAATAATGAAAAGGAACTCATAAATATTATAAGAATTTTCACAAATGGAAAGGATACAGGTGCACATGATGAACCTGGAAAATGTTTAATTACAGATGCGGTTTGCTTACAGTGACGTTGTGAATTGTCTGATGCGCTGAAAAGGCTGCATCGGTGCCTGACGTTTGGAAGAAGGAATTAATTTAATAAATGTATACAGCTGCTCTCTCGCAGATCACGGTTCCCCTGTGGAAAGGGAACACTGTAGCGTGGCGACAGGTCGAGCTGCCTAGATAAGTAGGAATGAATAGCAATGCCTCCTCTCCGCCATCAGCACGCCCTATGTTGGCTGGGGATGATGGATATTATAGTTCAATATCCTAGAAACCATCAGGTTGGGAAAGTCGAGTCGAAGACAAAAAACGGGGGAATGATGTGATGACGAAACTCCCAGTTGGCGGACCGGGCCCAGGCCCAGGCCCAGCGAGCGTGACCGTCTGGGCACCGTGCCACTTCTGGTAGATTCATTAACCAACCGCACTGGCCGCCCGACCTGACTGAAAGCTCACACCGGTAAGCAAGTCGGACTTCCCAACTGGGCAACCGCCGGGGAGCCCGCGCTTGGCGAGCCTGGAGCAGCTGACCCGAGAAGGCGCCATTTCCCCCCAAAATAAAACTAACCCCCCCCCCCAACACAACAACCACACTTAAACCCCTACACGCAAACATCCCCCACATTAAACAAAACTCCTAAACACAAAAAC